ATATGTAAACAAATGAATGTGTCTGTGTGCCAATAAAACTTCATTCTTAGAAGCAGATAGCAGGATGGATTTAGCCTGTGGGTCATAGTTTACTGGTCCCTAAACTAGAGAGAGAGCAACTGGGTAAATGGCAATTCCAATATTTCAGGTCCTTAGTCTTCTGAGCTTGCTTTGTAGTACAGCGAGTTAGAAGAAAAAAAAAACAACCAAATGCATAAAATATTCAATAGTCACGATTGTCTAGATGATTTGGGCAGAAGTCACTCTTTAGCAGACTGGTGGAAACAACCAACTGTAGTCCAGGTGTTTTGGCCAGTGTTGTCTGTTCTTTGTTTCTGTCCATATATATAGCTCAGCTTTCAGAAAGTATTTACCTATACTCATACCAAAGGGATATGGACATGAAAAAAACAAAACAAAAGCAAAAAAAAAAATCTACCTTTCCAATAAAAGAATAATTTGAACAGTAAAATCTTTAAATAAGATTAAATTTTCCATTTATATATTAATTTTGCTGGCTGGAGGAAAGAAGTTAAGATGTGGCAAAACATGGGAATAACATCAAAATCTCTAACTGAAGAATGTTTCATTAAAGAAGGATTATTTGAAACTTCAGATCCAGCAAAGTCCTAAGGGTTAACTTGTTTCTTTGAATTTCAATGAAAAGACACTTGAAAAAATTTAGCAGCAATTAGAGGAACTCTGTGTTTACAAGGGATCCAGGCCCTTTTCTGTGCCCCTTTTGCGTCTCACAAGGAAAGGTGGAATCCAAGCCCCCAACCCTTTCTACCCCACTACTATATTTTTTTTCCTGTAGGTCTAATTTCACTTTCAATTCCTTTAACTTTGCAAATAATTCTTGTCACTCTCTTTGTCTTTCTGCACTGCTCCTCCTTGGAGGAACCATTACTATTCGTGCTACACTCAGACTTTGCTATCCATTCATAAGTCCCTAGTTTCAGTCCCATTGAACTGCCCTGGAACGAAGCACCATTTCCAAATATCCTGGTAGTAGATATGAATTATGTAGAGTTCATATTGCTAGAGTCAAGAGAGCTCAAAGAGCCTATTTATTTCTAATCTCTGACTTCAGCAATGTATGACTATTAAAAACATGACATTCGCAAACATAAAGCAGAGTAACAGATAGTACTGCATCACCCCAAATGATAACAGCATCTATTTCAAGGCACAAAAATGGCCATTTCATTTGTGTTTATGTGACCTTTCCAGAAGATAAAGCAGGATATTCACAAAACAACATTAACTTTAGAATCAAGATAAAAGGAGTGGGTGGCAGTAACAACACCCATGAAGACTTCCATGTGGCATACAGGAGTAGGCCAGTTCAATCAGCTGCTCTGGTTGCTGACTAAAGCTCCTTGGAAATGCTAAGGCAGGCCCTGGAATGCAGCACTGATGACTCTCTTGGGAGACGTGGGATCCATTCCAGTTCCCAGGTGTTTGGGCAATGAATGAGCAAAGGAGCTCAAGGTCTTTCCCTCTGATTCTTAAATAAATAATTAATTAATAAATGCCTTACTAGTTGTGTCTTAATTCGAAAGAAATTGCCCATCAGTATTGTTTATTACGTTTTTTAAGTGAGAATAAAACCACAGTAGTTGTTAGAATTCAGGGAGGACATGTAGATTAATTGTCAACATAGCAGGAGTCTCGTTTTTATCAGTTTCAAATTCTCCGTAAGTTCCATTTGGGATAATGTGAATGCCAGTAATTTGCTCCTTAGTCTCTCTACCAAGATTTCTTGATGACTCTTGTTTTCCTATTCAATACAAACTGGAAACGATAAAAATGAACAGCTCTATATATTCACAGTCATTGACAAATGGTTCAATATATATAATATCTTTAAATGTGTATGCTTTATATATATATATGTTTTATATAGTCTTAAAATACAATCTTTAAATACTTTATGTATACACAAACACCATATATGAATATTTGCAATATGTCCATATACTTGACAACAGTTAATTAGTGAGACTAGCAATCAAATAGTTATTACTTAATATATTCCAATACTTACTAAAAACCACAACCTTTTTCTCAAATTCAGTATGAAATTTTCCCATGCAATTCATTTAAATAACATGACAGTAAGTTATTTTAGCAATGTCCAACTTTAACAAGCTCATGAAATAAGAGCTACCATTGGTAGACAAATGTAAGAGCTAAGCTTTAAGTGAAAGAAGCAGTTGGTTCCTTGCCAAAACTGTAAACTGTAAATCTTACCGCTGTAAATTCTAAAGGGGATTTCCAAGAGAGGGAACTACATTGTTTCCATTTGTGAAAAAAATGTGAAGGTCTGGTCTAATCTCTTCTTGGATATTAGATAGATAGATAGATGAGCAGCTAATGGCAGATAAATTGAGCACTGCACATTTGGCTACTATTGATTGAGCTCTTTCACCAAAAAACTGTTCATGTTACACAATTTCACTCAAGGAGCATGAAAGAAATTTCTTTGAGGGATTATTCACATATATGTATTCACATGGATGTAACTTATTTGCAATCCTCACACAATCAATATTATCCGTTATCATACAAGAATCACCTAACACTGATATTCTGCCATAATGCAAACTTAAAATGATATAGTAAATGATTGTCATGGACAGATCGTGGGAAATATTGCTATTGAAACAATCCCCATAAATATCAACACTCTTGAGTCTATCTGAGTTGGAATCTCAGTTCCGTTATTTTCTAAATACATGACCTAGGCAAAATTAGCCACTAAAGACTTCAATTTCATCAATTGCAAAGTACAAAGAATCCTGTACTCCCATGTTCACACCAGCTCAGTTCACAACATTAACAATCAATCTAGATGTCTGTCCAACTCCTGATAATTGGCTAAATAAAATGTAATGTATACAAGCAACATCATTCAGCCATTAAAAAAATGAAATCCTGATTTTTGCAGCAAAAATAGATGCAGATAAAAAGACATCATTAAGCTAAGCGAAATAAACCAGACCAGGAAAGATAAACACATTCTGATTTGTGAAAGCTTATATAGAATATAGAAATTGTAGGGGGCGGTGGGCCAGAGCTGTGATTTATTGAGTAAAGGTGCCACCAGCAGAAACCCATTTAGGCAACAATTTGAGCACTTGCTGCTCCACTTCTGATCCTGCTTCTTGTTAATGTGCTTGAGAATGCAGAGGAAGATAACCCAGGTGTTTAAGCTTCAGAAAAAGAATTAATACAATGAATAGATCTTAACAGTAAAGTATAAGATAAACAAACACACAAGAATTCCAAAAGTTGTATGAAGAATTCCAAAAGTTCTAAAATTGTCTTGAGCCGGAAACCCATTTAAAAACCTAATTAGAGTTACATATTCTTCTTCAGAGAACTGCACACACACACACACACACAGAGCATTGTATTAGCCCTGCTTACAACCATCCTTTAGTCATCAGGGGAATCAAGTATAAGATGGGAGAACCCCCTAGAGTAGAAATCTTCAATTTGCAAATTTTACTCCAGAAATATTAAGCCATTTTCTCCCTATCCTCTACTTAGGTGATGAAAACACATATATTTGAAAAAACACTCCTTTGCAATGTACTGCTGATATTGACTATGCTAATTTCATAGAACAAAAATCACATTAAATCTAACAGCAATCTGCAGGAAACTTTGACTTGAACTACCACTCCAGGTTCTGGAATTTTAACTCCAGTGAGGAGACAGCAATAAAACTCAGCATGGGGAAACATGCTTGTAGAAGGTTCTGGACGAGCGGCCGGCCTTACTTCTCTCTGTCATTGCTGCATAGCAGCAGACAATGCAAGAGAGACTTCAGTTTGAAACTCTGGGAGGAAATACAAGGCTATTTTTTAAAGTTCATGAAAAAATTAAGCTCAAAGGTAAGCTTATCTGTGATGCAAAAAGAAAACTCATTTTGAAATCCACATATAATTGTTAAGATACACCACTTCAGAAACTTTCTGGAATATGACGTTAAGAAACCATCACAAAAAACCTTGAGAGTGTTCAGATACTGACTTAAGCCTCAATTTGTTGGTTTGTTTCTTTGTGTTTGTTTTTCCTCTGTAAAGGCAAAAAGGCCATTGCAGGGTCCTAAATACTCCCTTTATATTTGTCTACATTTTTCTTGCATACTCTTTTGGTCCTCTGTCTACCGTGTCCACCACAGTGCTGTTAAAACAAAAGACAGGCTTTTACATGTTCTTATAGTTGAGCATCCTGATGCTTTCTGGATTGGTCCCCTTTGTGGCCATTGCTTAGTTAGATAAACAAGACATCCCCAACCAGTACCCAACAATTCAATACAACTCAATGCAGCCTCTTTCGCCACACTGACAAAGCAGGATGGCGAGCGTGTGCAAGTAAGGGGCAGGACTAATATCACAGCATTAAAAAACATCTTTAAAATATTTAATGGAAAACAGCTGGGGATAGCGACTTCGCTTCCTGTTTCAGTTTTTGACTCATCCTATGTAAGAATCTGTTAGAAGCATCACTTTAAGATTTATGGTGCCTTACACACACTTTGAAGTCAAAATAATTTTAAATGCATACCCTTACATAAATAAAATTTAAATTTCTTGCTGAATTGTGTGCCACTATACCGTGGAGACCTAATAGCACTAAAGAGAAAAAAAAGCCCTATTTTCATTTAAATTCATCTTGGATATGGATTTTGACTTTTGTATCAATACAGTTCACTGCCATATCTCTCAAGTTCTTCTCTTCCAGATGTCACTGATCTAAGAAATTAATGGGCTCCTGAGGATTTGGAACTAACACGACTCAAGCCTGACTGCCAAGTACGGGTTACGGCCGCAAATTTCAGTCTCTTGAAAATTCCTCTAGATCAAAGTCAGAAGTAATTTCATTTTGCATACAAAGCAGCCAGACGCAAGCACGCAAGCACGCCCAAGTTCGCCCAGTTGAGGAGTTGGGGAGGGGACCCAGTGAAAAGCCGAGAGCTGCAGTACCTTTCTTGACCTTTCCGAGCTTGGTGAGGTTCAGAGTACTCAGAGCTCAAAGCTGCCAGACCGCGTCTTCTCAGAAGTTGGGAGCTTGGCGGGCGCTACCAGACGCACGCCCCAAACTGTGGGCCGGGTGGCCTCGCAAGCAGGAGCGCAACGCGCAGGGGCGCCCGCAGCCCAGATCACGGATCACACGGTGCACTGGCAACCGTGCTCCAGGGCCAAAGGGAGAAGTACTCTGCGCTCCTCCGGAGGTGAGAGGATGGCCAGGAGAAAGAACCCGGGAGGCAAATGAAGAATCAGAAGGGAAAAGCCCTCTGCACGTAGAGAAAGGGAAAACTGTAGCCGCGGTCAGGAGGCGGGGCTGCGGGCGGGTGGCCAAGCTAGGGAGACGCGTGAGTAGCGCAGCAGCTGGGAGGGGCCGCGGGCGTAGGCTGTCAGGGAAAATTCCATCACCCTACCGCCACCCTTCCCAACGCTTGGCAGCTGAGTCCTGTACCTCCATTGAGTGTCTGCTGTACCCTAGATGGGCGACAGCTCGCGCCGTCCAGAGTGTGCAGTCACCTGCCTCCCTAGGGCTTTGAGGGGCTGCGAGAGAAAGTTCTGTGGGACTCCACTGCTGCCCTCCACCCAGGGCGTCCCAACACCCCATGGAAAAGAAAAGTGAAAGAGAAAGAAGTGGGAGGCAAGGCCAAGATAAACACCGCGGAGGGAGGGGCAAAAAGGCAGCAACCTCAGGGAGAAGCGTTCCAGGTGTGCAACTCCATGGGAGCTCAGCATGTCTCAGCCAGAGAGATCCAGGGTACAGAACTTGAAGAGAGCGGTGGAACTTCCAAGCCTTAGACTTGATCCTTTGCCTCAGCCTCCTGGACCACCTGCAGAGCACCTAGGCCAGGAGAGGGGCTCAAGCCCACCGGTCACAAACAGCAGCTACGGGCGTTGTGTGGGAGACATTCACAGCTGGAGGAACCCCAGAGGGGGACGGTGGCCTGGCCAAGTCTCCCAGAGGAAAGGGAAAAGGGTGTTGGACCCAACAACGGCTTTGCTGGCAGGCGCGTGAAGGAGGAAGTCTGAAGTCTCGCTGAAAAAAATCATTCCAAGGAGACGCCTAGGAAAGGCCGTCGCCCGATTAAGCGGCACGGTCAGTGGTCTTGTAAAGATGAGCTTCTCTCAGCTCACTTTTTTTTGTTCAACCAAATGTGTAACTTGGTATAAAAACAATGTTTTAAAATGTTTTTGTTAAAACTTTGCTTTTTGTGCTTTAAAATTCAACATTTTTAGAAAATACATTTGACCACTTTCACCTTAAATGTGGACGTTTTATTACAAACACTGTATACAGTTCCTATTGAAGGCAGGGATATTAACATTATAAAATGAGGTAGTTTACATTTGGGAGAAGGAATCATCTTCCGTGAGGATGAGGGAGGTACAGAGCTGTTAGAGTGACTAGCAAAGACCTCCCCCAGTTTTGAAAGCTGTGAGGTGAACCCCACCTGAGAATTACCAAAATCTAAAACCTTCTAGATGTGGCCCAGAGGACATGTCTCCTGCAGCTTAGTAGAACATGCAACTACAGCAATCAGATAAAAATGAAACAAAACAAAAAGCATTAGAAATTATTAAATATGAAACACACACAAATGTCTGCATAAATCATATTTATGTCTGCATTTTCATATTTACGAGAAATCTGCATGTTTCCATAAGCTTGCTTTTTCTGTATTACTTGATACCTGAAGTAACTGTAAACCTCAAAATATGTAGAAAGTATTTTAAGACTGTTCAAAAGTGATGAAAGACTATATGATTGTAATTATATGGGGAAAATACGTCGGCATGGGAATTTGGGGTGGTACAGAAATCCAGGACCCTATAGAATTGTATTATAAAATTCAAAATTTAAAAATACAATGAAATTTTTTGAGAGACTCTTCAAAAGTTAGTTACATTTGAAAATGTGTTTGTGGGCATGTGTGTGTAGGTCTTTGATTTGAGCAGACACTTTGATTTATTCATTCAATCTCAATGCCAGGGTTGGGTGGAGACTAAGCCTAGGACTCATTCCAGGTCTCCAAATGGATGGCAGAGAACCAACTGATTGAGTCATCCAGCTGCCTTCCAGCGTCTGCAGTAGCAAGTTTTAGGTATTCTCAGGTACTCCATCATGGAACTCAGCACCCACAATAGAAATACAAGATATAAAAGGATCATTCTTTTCTGCCTGGAGCAGTGGGATGTTGTTACATTTTCTTATGGGAATCGCAAGGAGTCTCAAATCCAAATCAGCATTTTTATAGCAATATGTAGGATCTGTTACTTGCAGAAGGAGAGCAGGTCTGAGTCTGCGTTGCATTTCACAGCCAGGAGTTGGTGATGATGAACCACTGCAGTGCGAATAAATGTGAAGGTAGAGATCCAGGTGGAAGAGTTGACCTTGTGGTCCACTGCAGCTAGGACTGCCATGGAACTTCTGGGACTCCTGCCAGGTGACCTTCTCAGCTATCTCCTCCAGCCTTGTGGACATGGTGTACTCTGCAGCTGGTGGAAGAAGCAGAGGTACAAGCAGTAATGCAATTCACGGGCCACACTCTGCAGCATGAGATAGAGCCATATTCTTGCTGCCAGAGGGTACACAGCACCCCAGATCCTGCTCGTCTGACTGTCCATAGGACTGAGGGATATGGCTTCCTGACACCACACTTAAACACACTGTGGCCACTACTATGAGTTGAACAGTTCACGCGACCAGAGTTTTTACAACACCCTGTGCAACCGACGGGAGCGGTCTCTATTGATTGAGCTCTAAAGTCCAAGGTGAGTATTTGAGAAAATTGAAAGTGATCCACAATCACTGATTGAGACTCTGGAATAGTAATTTTTGAAACAAGCTGAACAGTACATGAATGCATTGCAACCAAATTTCGTGGAAAATGGAATTAAAAGATATATTTGTTTTGGAGCGAATGTTTTGAAATCCATACATATGGGGGTTTTTCAAGAGGAATATGGAACATTTGTTAAAGCAAAACTATGCATAGCTTCTAAGATGGTTGTTGTACCACAATAAATTTAACTTTCAATTTTGTTTTCTATAAGCTTTTTAAGAGATCTTCATATACTATAAAATATTCATGTCATATTGTGGAGATCAGATCAACACTAAAGCAAAATTGAAAATTATTATCCCTATAGGATAGGTTTTACTCTACTACATGCCTCTTAAATATATAGGTCAAATTTGTTTTCTTAATTACAGAAAAAAAACCAGCATTCTTGAATTAGTTATAAGTATCTGCAACTCAATGAGGTGGATTTGAAACATAATTTGTTTTTGTTTCATAGCACTCACAGAGGAAAACTTAATGAATGCAACTTGTATTTTCAGCTGCCACAGGCTGTTTGGCAAGATTTTTGAAAATTACTCACACTGATGAGCAAGTAAATTCCATTGCATAAATTAAAAGCGAAGACTGAAATTGATGAAATACTTTGGTACAGCTATAAAATAACTAATAAAACTGCATTGTAGGAAGAAGTAAAAATGAACTAAATCTCACAGAAGTGACCATAGCAGTCACTTTGAATCGAAAGAATTAATAAAACCATAGTTCAACACAGTTCTAATACATGATGTATTCCAAATATGTTTACTATCTTTAAATTAGCAATACATGCTTTCTACAATTTTTGAGAGAATGTGGAAGAATTAAAAATTTGATAGTTCTCTGATCTAGTATTCAGTCTATGACTATGGTTTCAGTTATGATTTCTAAAATTAAAGGATAGGCCAAGAGCAAGTTGTTCCTTTGTGCTTTGGAAAGCATGGCCTGTCCATCAGCCTTCGAGTTTCAGCTCTGGATAAAACGTACTTGAACTGGAGCTAGTGTGGTGGTGCAGTATGTTGAACTACTGTCTGAAAACATCCACATCAAATGTCAGTATCTGGGAGCAAGTTCCACCTCTGATTCCCATCTAATTATCTGGGAATTAGCAGGTGATAAGCACAACCTGGGAAGCAGCAGGTGGTAGCCCAAATGCTTGTGTTCCTGCTTCACACATGGGTGGTTCACACGAAACTCCTGGTCTTGGCTTTCCCTGGCCCAACAGTGGCTATCGCAGTCCTTTGGGGGAGTAAATTAGCAGATGAAAGATTCTGCAGCTGGTTTTCCCTTCTCCTCCCTTACTTTCAAGTTAGTAAATGTATTTTGTTGTTGATGTTTGTTATTTTAAAGAAGTATTCCTGAAATGGAACCTGTACCTCAAGATTGCCCCCTACGTTGTGGTTTGGTGATGCTGACAATACAGCTTCAGTATTGGTACTATTTATTTCTTACAGTGCGTCTTTAGCACTATGCAAGGCACATATATTCTCAACTCATTGAATCCTCACAGTAATTTCATGAGTTATGGATGACTCTGTTAACATGGCCATTTAACAGAAAGAGAAACTGGAGCCTAGAGAAACTGTGCAACTTCCCTAGGATCACATGTTGCTTGACACAGAAAGGACCTGAACTCAGGCAGGCTGGCTTTGACACTCATTCCTTTCCTCTGCTGCCTCCAAATTAATAATTGTGTTTCATTCCTTCTAAACTAAGCAGAATAAGCCACTAACTTTTTTTCAGGCAATATCCCTTGATCAATTCTGCTTGCTTTGGCGTAATTTCAGTTGCCACCAGGGAGGAATCTCATCAGTCACTTAGATTTTCTGTGTCCTCATCTCATTGTGTTATTGTGATGAAACATCTCTGAGGTTTGTAGCATGGCTGCAAACATAGGTTGTTTGAATAAAGTGGCTGCCAGAAGGTTGTCAGAGCATTGCTTGCTGTAGGATTGAAACAGCAGAATGGTAGAGGATAGATTCTGGCTGATCCCTAACAGAGATAGATATTTGCATTAGAATCGATGTGTCAGAATAGACTCATAGAAATGAAGGGAAAGACAGCAAAGTTCTAGCTGGAGATGAGTTAAAAACAATAATGTTTGATTTAGTTCTTTGTACATTTAGAATTACCCATAACCTCAAATGTCTTGATACTTAGTAAGAGGGTGAAGAAGTTTAAATAGAATCATCAGATGAATTCATGTGCCAGCAGTTTTATTCTGAACAGTGTTCTAAGGTCATCTTTATCAATCAAAAATCTAGGTCAAAATTAATTACCATAATTACATTTATAATATGAGAACAAGTTAT